TATTAATTTAAGATTTCGGCTTTGGTTTCGGTTCTATTCTAAAATAAGATTTTGTATTCCCTGAACTCATGTGAATATAAAGAAAAAAACAAACAAAATACGATCGCGTTTTTTTTTATTTTAACGCTCAATAATCGTCGTGTGTGATGCAATTTTATATACATATGTAAGTACACCAGTAATACAAGAAAATTTGAGTTTATATATGTGGTATGCAATGAATTGCGCATATCTTAAAACTTTGATACATTTTTCATCAAGGAAACTTTGAAAAATTATACTCATCCTTTCAATTCATTCATTGATTTGTTCACCCATCGATCCATCCATCCATCCATCCATCCAACCATCCACCCATCTATCAATCCATTTAATTATCCATTTTTTTTTTCTTCTTTTTATTTTTAGTCATTTCATATCGTGTAAATCTACATTTATGAATAATTTATATATATGCATACATATATGTATAGTTACATATAAGTAGTATGTTTACTATTTGTACGTGTAAGGTGAATTTGTAAAGATGTCAATGCGTTTATAGCGTTTGTATAGCGTTTGCAGTTGTATTCATTAAAATATAATATTATTTTTCCGTTGTTATAGAAGAAATATTGAAATTATTGATATTAAAAATACAAAATTTTGTTCTTATTATTTCTTTTAATAATTATACTTGGTTCTAAGTTTTTGCTATAATAATTCTAGTTTTTATGATGAAGTATAACTGCGACTTTTATTGAAGGTTTATTGAGATCTTTCAAATTAATCAAAAATAGAAGTGTTTTTAGTTGAAAAAGGTTTTACTTTTATAATTAATTACTCTGTGAGTAAATTAAAACAGTCCACATCATTATATTAATAGATCCGAACGGAATTTTGAGCTTTTATGGAAAACTGAAGTTAAAAACTGAGGAGGAACTGAGGACCGTTTTAGTACCGAATTACTAATACAACGTGCAGTTGTTTAATTAATAAGTGTTATGCCTATTACACTTATAATATTAACTTGACGTAATCAAGAACAGAACAGATGGATGACGTATTCAAAGGAAAGAATTAAAGGCAGAAAAATTAAGAAAAAATTTTCATCGAACTGGACTCGAACCAGTGACCTACTGCTCTCTAGACGGACGCTCTACTAAATGAGCTACAGAGGTGTGAAGAAATTTCCATTGTGAATGTTGATATTCAAATGCAAAAAAAAAATGAAATGCTGGTGTATAAATAAAGCTATGACGTAAAAATGACACATTACGATTTTCTTCTGCTAAAAGGATTGTTACGTATCATCCTAGTTAATAAACTAACCGGGATAGCTACGCAATATCGTTTTTATTTGACCCGGTTTTTGCATTTTCTATATTTTCTTTTTGTTTTTTATGTTTTAATCGATGCTACCATGTTTAAAGTTAATCAAGAATGCCCTAAACATTCCATGAAATTAATATACAAATATGTATACATATAAATTGTATTATGTAAAATACTTTAGTATATAATTTTTTTTTTTGTTCTCTTTAATGATAGAAAATGCTTCAAACATTTTGTATAAGTACTTTTAGATTGGCTTTTAACATGATAAAGACAACAACATTAAAAGGCTTGGACTGAAAACAACACAATTTTTTTTTCTTTTTTGTTCTTTTTCTTGTTATTTTTGTGATAAAATGTGTTGTTTTCAAGTAATTTTTTCCTTCTTAAGTTATACTTAACATCTTAAAATATACGAGAATTCTGTAAGCTGTTTTAAACACTAACTACTGCGCGCTTCTAAAATTTAACATTGAAAACAATTTTCACGTATGTGCATATTTTACATTTTTTTTATTTTTGTTTTAATATAATGTACGAGTAAATATGTATATGTAAAGATACGGTTTATATTGCCTTGGAGCTTTTAATCTATCAAGATTTAAGAAAAAAAAAATTAAAGTTTTGTTGAACATTAAACGAAAATTTTGTTTTTTTTTTATTTTTTCCTGTTCTAAAATGTTTTTGTTAAACAACAGTATGTAGAACAAGAGCTAAAAGACAGGCATAAGTTATCCTAATGCTTATATACTTAGTTATTTAAAAAGAGAATTGCATATTTGAGAAAAATATAGAGGATATAGAAAGGTTTAGAATAAGTGAAAGAAATGAAATAGAAAATAAAAAGAAAAAAAATTAGAGAATTAAAAATTATTCAAAAGAAAATTTTTGAATTGCATTTGCCGCTCAATACGATGGTTAACTTATGACTACACGATTAAATTGTGCAATCCTAGAAAACTTCACAAAACAACAACAACTACAAAAAAAATTGGTTATTATTTGGGGAAGAAAATTTATTTTGATTTTGTTAAGCAATAAAATAATAAAACTAAAAATTTTATAATGGAATAAAATGAAAAATTAAATTAAATCAAAATGAGCATTTGATTGAACTCATTTGAAAATGATTTTATAATAAGGCAATAATTATATTATTGTGAATTTAGATTTTACTGCGGATTTTTTCTTGACTAATCGAATTTTGACATGTTGATATTGTTTGTAAAGTAAGGTTAATATTATTATGCACTCACACAAGTTATACTTCATTTTAAATGCTAATTTTTGTTTCAATATCAACAGAAATAAAGTCCAAATCGATCAAATGCAAATATTAATAAAAATATGTCAAATAAATTCAATTCAAAAATGTACATATAAAAAGTAAGAAGCTAACAAAATAATTCTTCGAAAACATTATTTTTTGAAAAATAATTTTATTTAAGTATTTTTTTTGAAAATTTAAATCTAATAATAATGGTTTTTGATAAACACAATAGTTGATTTTTTATAATATTTTATGCCAGTTTTGTGTTTATGTTGCCAGATTTTTCTGATCTTTTGCCGAAGTTTTCCAAATTTTCTGTAAAACTTAATATATGGTAATGCTGACACAAACAAAAATAATTTTATTATTAATTCAAAATTAGATACCTACTCGCCGAAAATTTTATTATAAACATTGCAATAAAATAAACATTTGAATATTCGATATAAGAATAATTTCGAAAAGTACTAGAATAATCTTCTTATAAGAATGATCAGATCAATTTTTTATTTTATCTCATTTCTCGCAAGTTAAAGGCATTTTTGTTTAAGGTGCAACTAAAAAATGAAAAAGAAAAACAAACAAACATTTTTTTTAATAGTTTATTTTTAAATATTAGGTAAGTAAACTAAAGCTAATAAATTTTCATTCTAAGTAATAACATGATACTTTTATCTGTCCAGGAAACAAGTTAAAAAAAAATCGAATTAAAGACTGAAAAAGAAAAAAAAATTTGTTTCTATTTTTTTTGAAGCATTATAAAAAAGAATTTTCATGTTTAAATATTTTAAGTATGGAAAAATCTGGCACACATTCATCCATACATAATAATCAAGTAGGTTTACAATATTATGTGCATATTTCAGTATAAATATATTTTTATTTTACTTATAAACACACACACAATATATAAATGTATGTATTTAAAATGTTTATATAAGTAAATTAAAATTAAGAATGAATAAACTTACAAAGGTGCTAAAGTAAGCTAACCAGCCTAACACTATGATATTATATTATATGAATGTACATCATATAAGAACTAAAAAAAAAATAAAATAATAAAACAAACCAGTTCTATAATAGAAAGTAATAAATTTTAAGCTTAATATTTTAATGGTGTTTCTTTAAATGGTAATTTTTCTCTTCTCTTTCCTTTACTCAGGCTTTTATTTATTTTTTTTTTTTTTTTTGTAATTTTTTGTTTTTTAATTTTCGAAAATTATTTGACAGTATGGTTACTAAACCATAAAATTTACCTTTCATGTGTGTACGTAATGTATGCGCACTTACAAACTAAAAATTTCTAATGAAGACACCAATAACAGTAAATACATATTATAATTAATAAAAATGTCAAAAAGAAAAAAAAAATAAAAGTGATTTTTGTAACTTAATCTTATTTCAATAATATATGTACATACATATGTATGGATGGGTATAGAAAGAAGTTATGCGGGATAAGTCTAATGAAATTATACGATGAATCTAACACTTTTGATAAATCAATTGAGAAATTAACGTCAATAAAGAATTAGTGTTTTCGCTATTTCTATAAAAAATATAACAGATTAGAACACTATTGCATTTTTAATTAAAGTAAAGCCTTCTTAATGAGAATTTTGTTTTACAAACAAATTCTTACAGAATATTTCGAAGGCTTTTAACACATTATACAAAAAAATATATACGAAAATATTTTCTACTTCCTCTCTATGCCGTTTTAGCTCTTAAAATTACGCGTTTTATCGAAATCTTTCGCATCTATTTTTTCGTATAACAAGTACACATAAAAAATTAAAATTACATTCCAAGCTTTTCATGTTTACATTGTACACGCGCCCACATCTAAATGTAAGCATATTTGTTGCAACAAATTAACAGATTTTTTTTTAAATTAAATTATCTAAAACAGTTTATATATGTTTTAGAACAATCAATTGATATTTTACATATTAGTTATTCCGATATTTGGTACCCATACCTAATTAAATTTCTTTTATAATTATAGTAAACCTGAAAATTTTATCTGAACTTAAAATTGCTGGCAATTATTTCTTCAATATTATCAGCCTTATTGAAATTTCAAATAAAGTAAAAGGGTAAATATTTCGTCATCCTAAACTATGCTAAAAGAGTTCTTAACTAACTTAATTAGCTCGCTAATGAACTGTTATACAATATAATTTTTTCAATTTTATTGTTTTTTAAGCCCCCAGTTATATGCAAAAAATTTGATTATTTATTATTAAAGAAAATAATATGTAATTTAAGTATTTGCTAAATGGCAAAAATTCCTTTTAGAATTTTTGCTCATTGAAATTCTAAATGCCAAACCTATTTTTGTATGTATATTTAGAGCTCAAATCGATAACTAATTAATTTTATTTTTTTTTTGTTTTTGCTTTACTTTCAGAAACTACAATAAAGAAACCTAAATAAAATTAAACATATAATCTCATAATGACACATCAGACACGTCGTGGTGCACCGCCACCTCATTTAGAATGTCCTTTAGCTTCATTAGGTCGTAGCAGTAATACACCGACATCTTCTGGATTAGAATTAAATCATCAGGCCTATCATCATCCGTTAAGCTCATCACCATTAAATCCTCAGATTTATCATCAAATGTCTAGACAATCTCCAAATGATGATGATGATACCGATGAAATACTTTATACATCAACATCATCTTCCGGGCAATATCAAGAACTAAATGGTATTATAAATAATTCAAATTCACAGTCACAAAATGATTCATCCGGTATGGAAATGTACACATTATCAAGAAGTTCATCAGATTCAATAGAACCCTCACCGGCACCGTCATCACTGTCATCAGCATCATCAGCATCTCGCACGAAAAATGGACACTGTACAACAACACAAAATAAACAGCAACAATTTCAAAAGATGAACAACAATAACTGCCAATTAAGAAGAACTGTTTTAATTGAACCAATTAGACGTAATAGGCCATTTCCTCCTCCTAGGCAACATTTAACACCATCTATAGAAACAATTTTACCATCATCACGACTTAAAAACACTGATCAAAGAATCTGCAATCCTAATAGTTACATAAATGATGACCACGATTCAACTGATGATTGTAATAATAATAGTAGTAGTAAAAGTCCAAGCATAAATGGTGTTAATAGTATCAATAGTGGTGTTGGTAGTAGCAGTGGTGGACACAATGGCAGTATTGAAGATAGTAATAATACAAATGGTGATATGAATGTAAATTCTAGTAATTGCAATAATAATAGAAAAAATTTGTCGTTAGCAAATAATACACAACCATATTCAAATATAATTAATCATCAAAGAGCTGCAGAAAAATTAGGTTGTAATGGTGTAGAGAATAGTAATGATAATGGTCATGATTTGCAACAATATTATTTAGAACAAAAAATGGATGTACTTTACTTGCACGGTGCCATCAGAGGATTACCAATAGGATCAGATATAAATCATTTTAAGAGTGAACAATATTTTTTAGATGAAAGCAGTTTGAGTAAATTTTGTGACTACAATAATGAAAGGAATGGATGTGATCGATTAGGTAAATTTTGTTCTCTAAATCCATTTATGTAAAATAATTTCATTCACATTATTTTATTCATAGAAAATATAATTGATAGTGAAACAAGTAGCTCAGAACGTTTTCTAATTGATCGTTCAAGAGGTTCACCAGCATTTATTAACTCACATCCTCATCACACGCCATCTTATACAAACAACAGTCATCAATCCAATTCAAATATCAGCTTTAATGAACATTCGCCATTAAAAAATTCTTCATCATCAAATCAATTGCCATCTCCCAGTTTCAATACACATCAAACAAAAATAAAAAATTTCTCTGATGGCTTAACAAATATTGGAAGATTTTCACCTAGCTTAGATCAAGGATATGCGACATTAGTATCACCATCACCAACAGCATCTGCTCATCAAATACCAGGACCATGGACAAAAAAAATTATGACGCGATGTAACAATAGTAATATAGGTTTTGATCGTCTATCAGACGACATTATAATGAAAATATTTAGTTGGTTTGATAATTGCGAACTATGTAAGGTAGCCCAAGTTTGCCGCCGCTTTGAAAATTTAGCATGGCGGCCACCATTATGGAAATTTATAATTATAAAAGGGGAACATATATCTGGAGATCGAGCTTTAAAAATGATATTTCGTAGATTATGCGGACAAACCAGAAATGGTGCATGTCCTGATGTACAAAGAGTTATGCTAAGTGAAGGATGTCGTATATCAGATAAAGGATTACAATTATTAACAAGAAGGTGTCCAGAATTGACGCATCTTCAATTACAATCATGTACAATTTCAAATCAGGCCCTCTCTGATGTACTGACGAAATGTACAAATTTACAACATTTGGATGTTACAGGTTTGAAATTAAGAAAAGTAAGAAACTAATTGAAATAATAAATTTTTTTGTTATAATTTATAGGTTGTACTTCAGTTGCTAGTATTGGAATGAATTCAAATTTAGAACCCCCTAGAAGATTGCTATTACAATATTTAGATTTAACTGATTGTACGTCAATTGACGATATTGGATTAAAAATTGTAGTGAGAAATTGTCCTCAGTTAGTTTTCTTATACTTAAGACGATGTCTTCAAATAACAGGTGACTTTCAATTGTTTTATTAATTATAAAATTTTTTAAAACCTAAAAATATAAAAAAATATTTTCTGTTTTTGCAGATTCAGGACTAAAATTTGTACCAAGTTTTTGTATAGCTTTAAAAGAACTTAGTGTGAGTGATTGTATAAATATTACAGATTTTGGTTTATATGAATTAGCCAAATTAGGTGCAGTTCTACGTTATCTATCTGTTGCAAAATGTGATCGAGTTTCTGATGCTGGTTTAAAAGTTATTGCAAGACGCTGTTATAAATTACGATATTTAAATTGTCGTGGCTTAGAAGCTGTTAGTGATGATTCAATAACATTTTTAGCACGATCATGTCCACGTTTGAGAGCATTAGATATTGGTAAATGTGATGTTAGTGATGCTGGTTTAAGAGCTATAGCTGAGAGCTGCCCAAATTTAAAAAAATTAAGTTTGCGAAATTGTGATATGATAACTGATAGAGGCATACAATGTATTGCATATTATTGTAGAGGATTACAACAGCTTAATATACAAGATTGTCAAATTTCGATTGAAGGTTATAGAGCAGTTAAAAAATATTGTAAACGTTGCATAATTGAACATACAAATCCAGGTTTCTATTAGCTTTTAAAACAAAAAATCATTGTATGAATTTAAAAAAAGAAAAATTTTTAAATTGTTACTAACAACCAAGTTTTTGTTAAGAAAATTACAAATATTTTTTGATTTTGCATGAGTGATATAAAAAAATTTTTGTTAAACATTAGAACATTGCATTAAAGTTTCACAGAAACAACAGTTATAAATTTACTACAGTAATAAAATACATAACTGAGCCTATATTAATTATAAAACTTATTATTTTAACAACGCATGTTATTCGAATACAAAAATTAGTTTGGTCATCAATTTTTTACTCTTATCATTAAAGATTAAAAATTCAGAATTCAGGTAAAAGACAATCAAACTGGTACTCATGTAAAAGGCAATCAAATTGTAAATTGTTTTACAAATTAAAAAAAAAAATAATTTTAAAAAATTCTTTTTATGTATTTGTTAAATAGTTTTAAAAGAAACCGAGTAATGAACGGGCTTTGTAATATTTTTAGCAGATTTGCTATAGATATACATAATGTGAGAAATACTGTTTAGAAAATCTAATTTTTCTATTTAATTAAGCACAATCAAACCTTCATTTTATTACATATTTCTTGTTTTTATCCCACCTTAACTATCTTAAGTTATGCGTCTAACAGAATACGGGGGTTGTCTTTTATTGGAAACATTCTTTTTTTATCTACTTGCCAGCCCCATTTCCCGAACCACATGTGTGGGTTTTTGATTTTCAATTTATAATTACATATGTATGTATTTCTAATTTTAACTTTTTCAAAGTTAAAAAACAAATTTGACAACATTCAGTTCGTTTTCCAATAAATGTAATCAAAATATGTATGTAAATATTATTAGTAAATTTTCGCAAATAACATTTACGAAAATTTTTCCTACAATACTGCACACATAGCCATATCTAACCCTTGAAAATTTCAAAAACGAAACATGTATGTACTAAAAATTATACTATGTATCGTGTTCATCTTCGCAAAAAAATAAATGGCAAAAAATTTTAATATACATAATTGAAAAATTTCGCATTATACAAAAAATTTTAAATGCATTCTTCAATAGTCTTTAATCTAAAATATTAAAATTATTATTGTAAAACAGAATATTTTCCCAGTAACAATGTAAATATAATATATAGGAGCAATTAAATTTATAATCTTTGTAATGAAAATATAATTTTCATAGCTAAGTAAACATATAAATATTTTTTATAAATTTTTTTTTATAAATAATTGTTAAATAGAATTTAGTTGTTTCATAATTTAAATTATTAAAAATAATTTTTGAAAGAAAGAAATTAACAGTTTTTGTACAGGACAATTTTTAAAATAATTTTATTCTATTATGTAATTTATTTTTGAGAAAAAGAGGAAAAATCAAAAAGAATCCAATAAAGTTATTTTTAAATAGAACAATTCGAATTAATCTTCCTCCTTTAACCTATTTTTCTATTAAAATAGTTTTGCATTTTTATTTTTGTAATATAAATAATTCATATTACAAATTACTTTGAGTTTTCCGTGCGGTAAATAATATGGAAAACATAACAGGCGGAACTTCCAGTTGAAAATGTTTTTAAAGTATTTTTCAACAACTTCAAAATTTGATTTGGAATAAATTTTTACGTTTGTTTGATTTAAAAAAAATGATCTCTTTATACCTAAACATGATAAGTTTTTTTTTTATAAACATGATAAGTTTTCCAGAATTACTTACTACAAATTTGCTTCCAGAATCTCTATCTATAATGTTCTATACTCATCATTCATGTTTTATGCTTTGATTTCAAAGTTGTATTGTAGAAATCAATTTTTTACTGAAAATCCCAAGTTTTTCTTAACATTATGCCTTTCAAAAAATTTTCTTTTAAAAATTTTTCAAGAGAAAAATAAAAATTTTTTTCAAAAATGTTTTTTTAATAAATTTTGTTCTAAATTATGATTGTTTACATCTCATTATAGAAAGTTATCTAAAACATTTTCTATGATTTTCTCAAAAAGTGCAAAATAAAAATAAAAACTATCCATCTCTTAAAACAAACTTAATACTATTTTAAATTAAATAAAAATCAAAATAAAACTGAAGGAGAAATTACAATGAAAGTAATTTAATATACATATGTATATTTTTTAGTGTTAAACAGCAGCTTCTGGTACAATTTGTAGTATAACTTTACGTTTTGAATCATACGAAAATCCGTTTTTCTTAAATAGTTCAGTTTCGTAGAAAGGCTTCAAATTTAATATATCTAGTTGTTTTGCTCTTTCAATTAAATCTCGTTCCATAACTTCAACATGAGTTGCTGTTGGACCTTCTTTACACCTAACATAAGCTAATTGATCCAAAGTAAGTTGACGTAATATGAAAAACAGTAATTCGGAGTGATCTTTTTGAAAAGATAAATATTTTTGGAATGTTGTTCTCATTTTTTTCATAACACTGAATTTTTGTGCTTCTATAAAGCTTTCCAACATCATTCTTATTGCCATTCCAACATCAGACTCTTGAACATTTTCTCGTAAATGTATTCTAGCACAAGCTTCCGCCATTCTAATAACAGATTCAATATGACGAACTGTTATTGGTAACGATCCAGTCGCAGCTGATTCTTGTCTTAATGTTGCATACATTTTTGCAATTTTATCTTCATCAATGTTCTTAAAATTATATAGTAAATAGGCACTTACATTAATTATAATTTGCTTTAGAACTGTAAAAATTAAAACAAATTGATTTTTGAAAATTAATACTTACTGTTAGTTTTGGTCTTATATTCTCCTTTGAGTAAACAATATATTTTCTAAGCAAATCCTGTGGAATATCTTCTACTTGTTTTGGTATGTCCTGAGAATCTTCTATAACATCTGCATTAGAAGGATGATGTTTGATGTGAGATTTAACTACGAACATAGCTAATTGTTGATCTTGCATCGGATCAAATTCATCTTTTATGACACATAAAATATCGAAACGTGACAGAATCGGTTCAGATAGATTTACATTTTCGGAAAAAGTCATGCTAGGATCATATCGCCCACCTATTGGATTGGCTGCCGCAATTACTGTACATCTTGCTTGCAAAGACGTTATTATTCCGGCTTTTGAAATTGAAATAGATTGCTGTTCCATAGCTTCATGAATAGAAGTACGATCCTGATCATTCATTTTATCAAACTCGTCAATCAAACAAACACCCTGATCTGCTAGAACCAAAGCACCAGCTTCTAACGTGTATTCTCTTGATATAGGATTTTTACGAACATAAGCCGTTAAACCAACTGCACTTGCTCCCTGCCCCGTGGTAAAAACCGCTCTTGGCGCAATTTTTTCTATATACTTTAGAAATTGGGACTTTGCAGTACCGGGATCTCCGCACATTAACAAATTTATATCACCTCGAACCTTATGCTTCTCGCCAGGATTTTTAGATTCACCCCCAAATAATGATAATGCCAAAGCACGTTTTGTAAAATCATGACCGTAAATTGAAGGTGCCATACTTGCACATATACGATCGAATATTTTTGGATCCTTGCTAAGTTTCATTATTGTGGCGACATCTTCATCCGTCAATGAGTCAACAACCTGTTTGCTATCTTTAACTACAACGTGATTCGCTATAATTACAGTAGCGAAAACTGGAAATCCTTGATCAGTATTCAAAGATCCATCATAATTATTTGTATAGGTGCCAGTAACTTCAATTTCATCACCAGGCTTACAAAGGTCACATAAATCAGATAGCAATATAACGTCTTTACTTCGGGGAATACGTCCAGCAGGAATGCGACCTGGAGATTCTTGAAGAGTTATCTTTTGATAATTACGATATAATGTTTGTTCCATATTAATCTATAAGGGAGAATTAAGCGTAATGACACATTCAGATTTTTAATTTTAAATCAATATTTGTATACTAACTGAAAAAGGACCAGCACTTTGACATTCCGGGCATGAACCCGGTCTAACCTCTGCATTTTGAGACTGCACAAAAGGTCCCAAAACGTAACCACATTTTACGCAATCATATTTAATAACAGAAAGTTGTGGTAAAACGCCCGTTGTCGCTGTGACCACACCTAATGTTCTGACTAACTGATTTAAATGTAATTTACGGAATGTCCTCAACTCTTCTATTAAAGGAAGTTCAGAAATTCTAACATGAATTTCACTTGTTACCCTTTCATAAGTAGGAAAAATACTTAAAACTAATTCTTTAGCAACTTTATCGAAAATTTCGAGCATCTGAAACGGTGCTTCTGGCAAAAAATATGCTAATACGTGTTCTTTGTATGTTAAATCTGGATAAGAAACAACGAAGGACGATTTATTTTGTTCACACATTCGACGAATTCTATCTCGGTAAGTATACTGTCCTTTTTCGTCAACAAATGTTCGCAGAAAACTCTTAAATCTATTACTGATTTCAGTACGTGGACCAAGCATTGAAACCCATTCCTTGGTAGAATGACCTTTTGTATCTTCAAGATTTTCAATAGATTCAATCATTTCTTCTTCTTCTACTTCTCCAGTAGCTGCTTTTTCAGCAGCTCTACGTTTTGCTCGAGGAATTTCATCTTCATCGTCACTTTGATCAAAGCCAAGCTCGCGATCATCTCGATGAATACCCATTGCACGATCACGACGGCGCATTTCGGCTTCTGCTGCTTGCCTTTCATCAATATCCATGTCACTGTAATCTTCTTCATCTAAGAGATTAGGATCGTATCTATCTAATTCTGGCATCGGACGGTAATCATTCTCCATATTATCGCCAAAAAGTTCTTCGCCATCCTCCTCTTCTTCATTATGTATAGTGTGATCACCTAATATTTCCTCTTCATCCTCAAACGGCTCAAACTCTCCCACTGGTGATGTCATAGCAGATCTTCGTCGATTTACTTCTGGCGTTTCAGGAATCGGTGAACTCTCTCTTTCCTAAAAACAAAGGTATACTTTACTACTAATACATATCTTTATCTAATCTACAACACTCTACTTACAGACATATTGGAAATATTATAATTATTTGTAGATTCTTAAAAAATTGAAATGTTATTACTTTATTCAAGCTTAGTAAAACCAAATCAAATAATAATTAATTGTTCAAGCAAACTACCCGTGTTTTATTTGGCGGGAACAATAAACCAAATTTGACTTTTGTAAAAAAAAATCGCTATTAGTTTATTGGGAGACCGAGAATACTGAGAACATTTATAAAGTAAAATACTGTGAATTGAAAATAATATCGTGAACTTGAATTTTAGTGACATTTAATGAATTCCCAGCTGTCAGAGTAACGAAAATGTCAACATTTCCAATCAGTCCTAATGTCAAAATCCTTCTAAATATTATTTTGATAAAAAATTTTGAGGTTAAATTGTTTATTCTTAGTTGTGCAATGCTAAAAATTTCATAATTTTGCAAATTAAATTACCATTTTTTATTTAAGAAAACATTAGTTTTAATAAATGGCAAAACATCTGATACAAATAATAGTCTTAGGTGCTCAAGTGGTAGGAAAAGCTTTTGCCAGGGCTTTAAAACAAGAATATGCAGCATCTCAAGTAACTAATGTGAAAGTGATAATATGTACATATTAAGTTTTCAATTTATTTATTATTTTAGGAAGCTGCTAAAAGAGCTGGTGGGGGAACCCAGGGTCAAAATAGAGCCGCTGCAAATTTAAGATCCGGTATTAAAATAAAATATTTACTGCTAATTTATCATTAATTAGTTCATATTTAAGGTATGACATTGGAAGAGGCACAACAAATTTTAAATGTTTCAAAACTAGATGTTGAAGAGATTCAAAAGAAATATGAACACTTATTCAATGTAAATGATAAAACAAAAGGCGGATCTTTCTATTTACAATCAAAAGTTTTTAGAGCAAAAGAACGAATAGACGACGAATTAAAAACTAAACCTAGCGAAGAAAAAAGGGGGACTAGTAGAAGATCTTCAAATAGTAGTGAACCTGTGTAATGAAAATTATAAGTTAGAATAGTTTTTTTGAACAAATTTAATATACATAATTAACTGTTGAATGACTTATAACGATTTGCAAAATATGAAGTATATATTAGTAAATTAAGCTAATCATGCGTTCTCATTAATTTCTACTTTTCCATAAATATAATCATTTGATATTATTTAACAAAATGGATCACGATGTAAGTTGCTTTAATACGGTAAAATTTTAATAATGGCTATTTGCTGGGAATAATTCATATATGGATGCTTAGAAAATGTTACTATTTTTTCTCTAATAATTTTATTAAAATCTAATGAAAAGGTCAAATTGCAATATGTAGCTTTTTTCTCGTACATATTGGATTAACAGACTTAATTATCTATTGCACAGGTTAAATGTGTGTATATAGTTATATAATGTACAAGCTTGATGCCCATATGGGATTAACAAGTAATTCAAAATCAAAAACTCTTCGTTAATTATGACTAATAATTTTATTAAAAATTAAATAAAAACTTTAAAAACTATGTTTAGTTTAATTTATAATTATTTTAATATAGTATTCGTAACAAATTATCTAAATAGTAAATCTTTTATGATAGTATAATACAAAAATATGAAAATTTATTTGTTTCTTTTTTAATGCTCGTTTAAATTAATCAAGTATCAAGTAAAGTTAACCATTTTTCCAACTAAAAATATTTATACTTATAATGCACGTAAGTCAGTTTTTAATATTATTTTTATATTTCTATAAGGAATATGTGTATGAGTAAGATAGGTACAAACATATAAATTCATAAAACATGTATCCCTAAAAAAAATTACAAAAATTAAAAAAAAAATATATTCCTGAATTCAAAATTGCAACTCTTTTTTTAAACTATTAGCTGTGAATCCTCAAAATATGAGTTGTATGTATAAATAGTTATTGTATACAAGTGTTTATTTATATCTACATGAGTAAATATAAATCTTAAAAACTCCACAGTTTGTAAATGTTCTAGGGCTTTAATGTATATTTCAGTTACATTTCCATTAAAAGCATAAAAATTATTTAAAAAATCTAAAATTTTATGTATTTGACTAAGCTGATTTTTAATAACAATAAATTATTAAACGACACTTATCTTGTTATAAATATGTTTAGTAAAATTCACCGTTTCAAACGAATAATTCGAATTAAAATTTTGTAAATACGGAAAATGTAATGTGTATAATTCCTTTTTTATTGCAAAAGCAATAATAAAAAATTTCAATTAAATCAAAACAAAAACAAAAAAAAATAGGAATGCACAAATAGTAAAAATATTTTTTTTTAACAATTTTAATTAAAGTTTTTGATATTAAAGCTAAATTATACGTCTGCTTCTATGAGCTTAATTTTAGAGCTCAAACAAAATTGTTTTTTTTTTCAAAATTTTGTCACCTATATGGATTCTGAAGGTGGTGTCAATGAAAAATTTGTGTAAAATAAAATGTAAGCCGCACTAGATACTACATCTGATGAATCCAATTGTGAAACAACTTGGTCATCAAATTTAAACCATCTACAAGAAAATAAAATGAAATAAAAATTATATAACAACATAAATAAAAAATTATAAAATTATTTTACTTACTTATTAAAAACGCTGCTTTTACAAAATGCAGTATAATGACCACTTTCCATTGATCCATAATGATTTGAAACACCATATAAATTATACAATTTTGAATAAGATGAAACTAATTCAGAACGTGCTAAATGTGGTGTCATATCTAAATTTTCTAATGGAAAACTAACATAATTCTGTTTCTTTTTATATGTATTACCATTTAAATCGGTATCAGCGTAGAACCGTTTCAAATGAATAACTAAAACTGGTGGTAATTTCGATATTGATAATTTTTTAATAGCATCACGTTTCTGTTTACAACCTGGACAATTCCAACCTAATATATGTTCACCATTAAAATACATATTAAGGCATTGATTTATTTGACATCGGTTTGTTGTAGGCGGTAATTCTAAACTTAAATTTGAAAAACATTCATAAGTAGCACTCTCTTTATTGCATTCAACACATTTTACTGTGCTCTTAATTTGACCATAAAACAATTGTAATATGTAACTTTCACTACTTTTTGTAAAATCAAGCCATGCTTTTTCAGCAGGCCTTAAACCCTCTCTTGGTGAATCAACATGAAGAGTTTGCAAATCTAAATGTAACCAATCCATTAAAATTGTTAAAAATTCATGAGAATCCTGTTGTTCAATACCACGAAATATTTGTTGATACTGACCAACAATATGCTAAATAAAAATTAAAAAATACATATGTATTTTTAATCGAAATAAAAAATTTTATTAACAAAAAATATTTTACTTACTCTTAAGTCTTTACTAGCAACACATTTATAATTGCCCTTCCATAAAATTTGTAATAAAGCTGCAACCTCTTCAACAATTTTACCTTTTGTTTTATTTGAACGATTAATATGTTGCTTGTAAGCATTGGTTATGAAATAATCAGTAAGTAAATTTGTGTTGCTTAAGCATTGTAAAATGCTGTTCATGTAGCAGGTATTACCAAGGTTTTTCAAACCAGTTAAACCTCGACCCTAAAATAAATTTTAAAGACATAAATTTAGTTAATTTAAATTAATAATTCTCTTTTCAAATAAATAAAATGTTGAACAATTTTCCAAAAATTTTTTAAATTTGAAAAAGCAAAGTGGTTTAGTTTTTTAAAGTAATAATCAAATCTTTTAAGAACAAACTTTCATTTTGTCGTTATTAAAATCCCAGAAGATTTGTACATTTAATACGTGGAGCAACTTTATAGTAACCCAGAAGAACTAACTCAAGAAAAAATATTTATTAGATTTTATTTTTAAAATTTTTAATCTTATGTTTATAAACTGTTTTTATTTAATTTTATTGTGATATCATATTATTATTTAATAGAAGAAAACAGATAGAAAATGGCAGTGTATTTTGCAAAAATATTTCAGTTATGTATTTCAGTTATTAAATAATATTATTCAATACTATAATAATTTATTAAATAACAAGCACTTTGTATTTTTTAACAGGGATTTCAAATCAATTCTTTTCTTGTTTCTTGCTTTAACGTGCATATTTGAATTTTTTATTGCTTCAAACAATTTAAACTTTTTTGGCGATTTCAAACCAAAAGAAACCGTTTTGATAACGTTTGCAAATGTACGTAATGTACACCTCAATATTGATCCTATTTTTTGAAATATGATGCGGCACACATTTCAATAAAATGCGGTTGATCGAATTAATTAAAACCTGTTAAATTTTAAATGTTTTACAACTTCGTTATTATTTAATTCTTAATTTTTGCCTATATATTAGTTACAAAGTACGGTGTAAAAGTGTTACGTATAACAATATCTCAGTTAAAAAAGGGCTGCTATTTGAATTTTATTTTTAGAAAAGCACAAATTTTGAACTTTTTTTTAGCATATAAGAAAACGAGGATCCTATAATCAAAATAATTGCAAAATTTAAAAAAAAATCAAACTAATTATAAGGTTTTATTCTTCTCGTGCAAATCCACATATAGTTATATATTATGAAACCACACTTTTTTGCAAAACTACTGAAAATTAGGAAGTTAATTTCCTTTAATGTGCAATACTATGTATAAAAGAACTGTAATCAAAATCGAACTTCGTATATTTGTTTTCAAAATTCAATATTTTACTTAAAAATCTACACTTTGAAATTAAAGTGTGCATTAGTACTAAATTTCTATTAAATATAAAATTAATTAAAATCATTATCGTTTTTATTAGACTTTTCAAACATATTATTTACCTTTTTGAATGGGCTAATAAACTGATATTTATTTAGATTAATTTGAATACCACCTATTACAACCATATTCGTAAAAATTCTTGAGTACTATTTTTATTATTACGTTAAAAAGGAAAACCCGCATAATTTAGATTAATAACTGAAAAATAGTATATGCTACTTTAATAAATTAGATCTTAAAATTTTCCCACAATAACTAAAAAGAACCATTTGAGAAAACAAAAACAAATTTTAAAACAAAAATAAAAACGTTCGAATTTGTTGCGTGTTTCGATATAACTGAAATATTTTGAATTGGATTGAACACATATTCAAATTTTCTTTTTCTTTTGAATGGTTCGCAGTTTATTGGCTTTTATTTTTACTTAAAAAAATATTCATAGTATTTTTGTACACACAATAATTATAAATATATTGCTAATAGGATTAAAAGTAAACAAACTAATATAATGTACCTCAAAATTATTTTAAAGTAAAATAAAAATTTGTAAGGTGAACTCAACGTAACAAAAAAAATTTTAAAAATCAATAAAATGTAAAATAAAAAGATGCATGCACGGTAAAAGATTAAAATGTATAATAGGTAAATAAATAAAATGGAAAACTGTAATTTGGAAAGTAAAGATGAATTACAATATTTGAAAATTTAAAAAAATATTGCGAAAATTTATGATTTTTTTAATAAACACTTAGTACAAAAGACCTAAACTTAAGGATATTTTACTTTTAAGGTATATAAAACTTTAAAACTTAAAAATTTTCAAATACTTGTATCTTTAAAAATTTTTTATCAAACGGAAACTAAAATTAAACAAATACCATAAAAAAACACTCCCAATTTAAAAGTCCTTAAAATTCATTGATTGAAAAGAAAAAAGAAACAGTTTATAAATAGAAAAAATAATGTTTTTTCACATGTGCTCACTAAAATTAGCTAAAATATTAAAAAAATATTACTGCCACTTTGTCATTATAACGTGAACGTATCACGTTTTAAGTAATTTATTTATGTTCTTGGACATGGAATGTTTATTTATATACATGTAGCTCATATTATTTCAGGTGCTATTTTTGTAATTTATAAATAAATGATTACCTTGACAATGACGATTTAAAAAGAGTTCATGATAGATTATATTTCTGTTATTAAAATAATATTAGAGGAACTTACCATTGAACCAGGAACTGGTGAAAAATCTCTTGAGACCCTTCTCTCAGTTTCAATAGGTTTTACTGATCGATCGAATTGTGGAATTTTGGGTTTTGAAATTCCTTCATCTATTGGAGGCTAAAACCATATATTGACATTATAGGAATTAACCCCAATGTTGTGAATGACATACCTTTAAGTGTCTCTTCTGTTCTCTTGCTATTTCTAATTGAGCCTCCCGTTCTTCTTTTTCGCGTTCTCTCTGTACGTCTAGAGTTTTTTGCTGTTGCATTTTTTCTTCTATTCTTTTATGGGCTTCTTTTATAGCTTCACTTTCTTGCTCCTTTTCCATTATTTTATTGCCAAGCTCAATTTCTCTTTTCTGCATGCTTTCCAATTCTTCTCTTAAGCGTTCGTTTTCCATTTTCTAAAACAATTTTGCAAAATTAACAATAGCTTTTAAAAACATTAACATTTAAACGTTTACATAATCTCTTTGATTATTTTCAAGTTGCCATATTTTATACAAAAGAGTCTGTTTAACATCATTAAATTTATCTTTTTCATCATTATCCTCCGCTTGACTAGCAATTGAAGTAATTTTTTTTAGCTCGACTTCAGCTTTAACTAACTTATCATCATTTTCTAAAGCTTTATCTATAATTGCTTCCCTTTCAGCCAATACGTCCAAAGTATTTTTTTTATCGTAAGTCTTAATTGCAGCCATTTTGCTTGAACGATCAACCACTGGACGTTGTATAATACGTGAGTTATTTAAAGGTTGGGGTTCAGCAAAAATAATTTCATCTTTCATTTGAATATCATTTATTGAAGGATATTCAATTTCATCAAAGTTTTCTATTGGCTTTTCTGATGCTTTTGGATTTTTTACACGGGGATTTGTGCAAAAACTTGGATACGTTAATATAAATTGCTCATAACCACCATCAAGAATTTTGATAGGAGAACGGTAAGTAACATCTGGATCCCACTAAAATGGAACTTTTTCATTTTGAGTAGGAAGCAAAACACGTCTTAAATACTTACCCGCTGCAAGATTTCTTTTAAATTGTAAATAGGACTGTGAAGAGTAATATTTGTGCCCTTAGAATCCCAATCCATTAAAATAACGTGATTTTTTATAAATCGTGAGGCCCATTGCGATTTGTCATCAATGTGTTGCTGAATTTTCCCCGCTGACATACTAAAACATAACAATAATGTAAAGTATAACAGAATTACAATTTTATTACCCTCTTAAAAGAATTTCTTCAGGCACATTCAGACATTGCGAATAGAGCAATTTTGAGTTTTTGAAATCATTTCTTGATCTACAATCCATTATCAACATACTTTCCGCGGGATCCTTCATCATTTTATATAAATCAAAACATGAAATGTTGTAATTTTGATTATAAACTTCCTTAGATTTTTCCACATCATTCAAATCAATATTTTCTGTGCTACTTCCATTAACTAGAACCTCTTTAGGTAACTTTTCAATAGACATTTTCTCAGAATACCGTTTCTGCAATGAATCCGACAGATTTTCTAAAATGTCCAAAGCGGCTTTATATCGACCCCCACCTAACATTTGATTAATGAATTTCTTTTCCTGAGCGTACTCTGGAGACTTTTGTATTGCGGTTAATACGTTGAAATATTTCATATATGTAACATAACTTAGTTCTTCGTCACCTTCCCGCCTATAATTATCTGCAGCTTCAAATAATTTGTTAGCTGCAGAAAGTAACCTAAAGCATACGAAACTTTTAAGTTCATCATATTTTCTTGAGTAAATCAAATCAGAAACTTACATTTTGATTTTCCTTCCTTTGAGGTCAGGTATTTGATAATATTCAACCAGGTCATCTAAGCACTTACCCAAATGTAATTCTTTCACGTTTCCCATTTTAAAATTTTTAATAATTTAAATAAAAACTTATTATCACTTGTTTATTTTTATCTAAAATAATTCATTTCATTGCTGTGCTTCTAATTCGATTTTTTTTCCTCGGAAAAACAGTTATGACATACCAGCCATGTACTTATAAGACGTCATAAAATTAAATGTCAAAAAAATCAAATAATTATCTAGAATACAAAATGCCATACGGTACACTATACCAATGCAATATACATTTGCAGGGGTAAGAAAAAAAAAAATAAAGAAACGTACCTAGTTATACTAAGAAACTGAACATGATTTTACATGGGATTGTATATCAACTTGCATGACTAAAAATTTCTCATTTTCTGATAATTGAAAATAACCACTCTTTTGGAGGAATTACTGGTTGATTGTAAAATAAACTTAGTCTCAATTCAAATCGATTGCGTTAATTAAAAATGGCAATCAGTTTGTAAAAAATTAGAAACTGTTTGACTGCTCAATTGCATGCGAACTTACAATTGCATGTGTGCGCGCTTGAATATAAACCTGTGCAGTACAATAACGCAATGCAAATATTATTGTGTAGCAGCCCGGATGATAAAGATATGATATTTCGGAATTTTCTCTCAACTTAATTTTAATTTTGCTCTTTACCTGTTGAGCGATTAATCTTTCTTAGACAGCACGATTTACTATGCTGAATTATTCAAGCGAAGAGGCGTACTTACGAAATTTTATTAATACGGAAATTTTCGTTTTTTGCTTAACTCTAAATTTCATAGCAAATGCAACTTTCTTTTTCGGCATGACGCACATATACGATATTAACTAAATTATATACGACATAATCTCTTAACAGGCTAAGAAACGTCAAATTTGTCAACTAGAAAATTTTTTCAGCTATTTATTTAACTAGTTTATTTGTTTTTGCAGTGAAAATTTTTATTTCAAAACATTTTAAAATATAAAGTAATAATATCTACAATAAATTTTTATTATTAAAATTTTTGATAAAATCGTATTAAACACTTAAAAAAGTGCCACATCAGTCGAGGTACATATTAAGTCGAGCTCTTTACCCAATAGAAGGCTTGTTAAAGCCCGTTTTAAGCTCTATGCACAATTTTAAATGTCAATCAAATATATACTAGACATTTTATCATATGATCATCACATATTATTATGACATTTCAAAGTCTGGTCTGTTATTTTTTCAACGTATCGTAATTTGGAAATTATGAAAATGTAGGAAGGTACCTACTTATTATCAATATACTTTACAAAACTTACGAAGATTTACTTGAGTATTAAGAGTTTGATTATTCAAACGTAAGTTTCAATATAAAATTTTGACTTAGAAAACTTAGACTAGACGTACGTACTACATAACTATATAATAAATTTTTATATTCTATTTTTAGGTTTGGATTTTCTCGAGAATAAAAAATCTTAAATTTTCCAATTTCGTAGCCCAAAATAACATTTTTAAAAACAACAACTTATATTTTACAAAAATTTGTGTGAAATGTGCTGAAATATTTTTATAAAAAAGTCTATTGGGCATAAATATACAGCTATAAAAAAAAGTCAAAAATAATTTCGAGTAGGAAAATAAAGCTTTCCCACTCAGCTTTTTAATTTCGAAAATAAAATAGTGAATTGACATTAAAATTTTTGTCAAGCTAAATCCGCAGTACAGAAGGAGAGTTTCGTCATTTTGTTAGGATAACAGAAGGAAAAATTCCTTAAAATAAAATTATCAAAATATATCATTGATATATTAATTTTGGTTCTCTGTATTGATTTTATATTCAGTTGATTTTTACAATTTGGCATTTAAAATTATTTTTGTATTAATTAAAATCGCGTACGCGTAATTACTTGAATGATTCTTTGTAGTGTTGGCAAAGAATAATAAAAAAATTTTTTGGAAAAATCTATATTGTATAAAGTGACAAGAGAGAAAAAAAGAATCCTTTTAATACATATTGTGTGTACATAAGTGTATATCAATTATTTTATCTATATACTATCTAGTTGCATAATAGTTGGAGATTATTTTAATTAGGAAACAATTTGATCAAAAAAGTTTTTTGTAAAATTTTTAGAAATATTAAATCTCTGAATTAAGGTAATTATGTTTTCGGGATTAACAAATCAAGTTAGTTCATGGATGGGCGCTGTAAAAGGCGAACCACACGATGAAGAGGTACCACCACCACCACCTGGATCAGAAAATACAGCTCCTGCTGCTCCAGAACCTGCAGCAGCACCAGCTCCTGCAGCAGCAGCAGTAGGAGGAGAACCGCCTGTTGAAGGTGAAGAGGATAAAAAAAGGTCAGTATAAAAACAATTAAAAAAACAAAAAAACCTTTTTCTTTGTAATAATAAATCGCAAATTTGAAGAAAAAAAAATGTTCGGATATGAAAAGAAGAAGAAGAGGAAAAAAACGTATAAAACTTTACTTCTTCAAGGATATACAGAAAAAAAAAATTATATTTTCCTTCGAATTTTACGATTGTGTGCGGAAAAATCGATTTTCGGAGTAAAAATAAATTCTAGTTTAGTATAGACAATAATATAAAGGCAAAATTTATTTTGCGCACTCTCATTCTCCTAATTGAAAACACTCTGTACCCATTAAAAATTTTGAGTACATACATACATTCTGTACGTATATACTATATTTCCAAATACATAATAATATTGTATGTTGCATTTCCACACTAAAAATCAATTTGTATAGGTATGTATATAGGGAAATCAAATTCAATACATTTAGTTGCCTTAAGTATTTCGCGTAAGCTTTGCTTTTAAATTTTGAAATTAGGAATTAAAAAATGAATAAAATCATATTTTTTTTTTTTTTTAGAAATTTTTATACATCTGTAACTTTGCTTTTAATGTATATGCTATTTACTTATGTGTACACATACATTTGCATACGTACATTTTTCTGTAAATGTTTCCATAGTCCATGACTTCCTTATAACATGATAGGACTATGTTACCATTGTCCTTGTAAACTTAGGCCGTTATAAATGTTTCACTTTTTTGAAAATAAATGATTCTTCTACTGATTCTAATTTGAATGAATCATTCTTTTTTTTATTCTTTTTTTTTTGTATTTTTTATTTTTCCCTTTTTTGTCGTTCTCTATAGTTATACAATAAAATTTCAAAAATTTTGAAAACAGGAAATTGAAAAAATTTAAGTATCTATCCGGAAAATATTGTTATACTAATAAATATCAAATTAATTTCATATACATATAAGATTTTACACATTTTAAACATTTTAAAATAAAATATAAAATTTTTTTTAAAATTTTCTTTTACGCAAAATAATAAATATTGTTCAAACTAATCCATTAAATTGACGATTGAGTAATACAATACTTTTTTGATTTAATTTATTTAAAAAAATGTAGAACAATTTTTTTAATTATTAGATAAATCGTGATAGAGAATATTGTTTTTGAATTAATATCCCCAAAATTTTAAATGTCTTAACTTTAGCAGCTAAGATAAAACTTATGTATCTCTAAAAAATGAAAACATATTTAAAGTTTGTCCAAGTTTTGAAATAAAATATTTTGCCTTAAATAAGAAGAAAAAATCGAAATTATATCGTTTTTCCACGATGACAAATAAGTTTTTATTATTTTTGGTTAGAATCTTTAATGAATCCATAATGATAATATTTTATCATTGCATTTAAAGCACTTTTCCTTTCTTAATTCTCATTTACTACATACTGTATAAATTTCTCCAATTTCTATTTTATTATTTATATAATTATGTATATAATATATACATATATATTTATTTAATGCATATAATCCGAATATATTATATACACACTTAAATCTATATTTCTAAATAAATATGGAATTACATATTAATTATTCTATAGCCATTAAAAAGCATCCATTCCATTGTACGTAATGATTTTAGTACCCTAAGTTTAGTATTAGAACTATACTTAAGCTTAAATAGCTTATGTATAACAGAATAATAGTTTATATTCATTATATAATTATTTATATTTGATTTTTTAATAAGTGTCATTTCAATTTCTTTAAGTATATAATATAAAAGATCTAGAATATATAAATACATACTTATATAATATATACTAAATTATACAAATACATACATCCATATTAATGTGTACATATGTAATTTAAAATGTGAACTTAAAAAAATGCTAAAAGCAATAGAGGAATAAGTCAAAAATAATAAAAAAAAAATCAAATTTCTTTAAAACACATACGATTACTAGATTATTTTTTATTTTTTTGCTATTAAAATAAATTGCAAAAAAAAAAAACGGGAAAATTATAAAGGACAAGCAATATATTGGAAAATGGTCCGATTTGGTAGTTCAAAGAAAATTCAAAAAAGATATTTAGGATTATACATGTGTTACATAAATACATAAACATGAGTACTTACTCAAATAGTATTTATATACACTAGTTTTTATGCACATACATATATATGCATGTACTTCTTTTGAAAAGGAAAAGGGGAATGGAGAAAAAACCATTAAAAAATTGCGAAAATGTTTTTTTTTTAAATTGTAAAAAATGAAATAAAAAATTTCTTTTTTTACAAATTCTGTTAAGAAGGAATTTATGTATAACACATTTCTATAAGTACATACATACATGTGTACTTTAATAATATACTTTTGATTTTTAATCATTATTTTCAATATCATCAATATCAATAACATTTGATTTATAAATTGACATTTGATATGGGCTTATTTTTAATTTAAACAAAAAAAAAAGAGAAAAAAAAGCAATGGAAAAAATTTTATACATTTTTTTTTCTATGTTTTCTTAACATTTTAATTTTCTTTGTACACGTATATTGAAATAAAATTAGTATATTTAGTATATATATGCATAGGCATGTATACAATATGATAATAATAATTATATGTATTGCATGTACATACATTCATACATACATACTATTAATTTGTATATAAGTATGTACATATGTGAAAAATTTTTTTTATATAGCATATAGTTTTGTCCTTTCTTATATATACTTATTATTGTATATATGTACATATAACAATTACTTATTCGATTCGAAATTATTTTTCTTATTATTTCATTTCGTTTTTTTTTATTTATTTTTTCTGTTTTTTCGTTTTTCTGATTTTTTTTGCACATAGTCGTCGTAGCCATTTTCCGATCGATACAATAAAACGTCATCCTTGCCCTAAATTGAATAAAAAATTTTTTATACATGGATGAACATTTTTTATAAAAAAAAAAATAGCATATTATTATATAAAAATATTGTTGTTTTTTTCTGTTATACATCATATCATAATAGTTATATTATGTTGGGGTATACTCGTATGTATGTATGTATGTATTTAACTTATTTATTAATTTTTTCTTATGTACAAATATTTTATGTATGTATGTATATATACATATGTAGGTATAATTATTTTTTTATTATATTTTCACTTCTTATGTTTTAACAAGAATATGTAAGGTAAAAATATTTTAAGAATGTTCAATTAAATAATACCAAAAAAAAACTGATTATACTTATTCGAAGAAAATAAAAAAAAATTCTTAATGAATTTGACATGCTTTACAGGAAAGGTCCTTTTGCATAAAATAAAAATTAATAAAAAAAACATTGAAAATATATATAAGTACACCATATTACGATAATCTAATAAATTTTGGATTTGATATATTTTTGTATGTATATCGTATGTACCTATATTACAATTTAATTTGAATTTAATTCGGAAATGCTAAGATTGGTATTAAAAAATTTTTTTTATTATAGAAATTTTCTTTATTAATCATTACGAAACGTTTTCTAATTAGATCAGGTTTGTCATCAAAATTGTTTGATGATATTTTATAATTCATTTGAAATAAGAAAATGAGTTTCCAATATAGGAAGATTTTGTTGTATCAAAAGAAAAATCTTGTTGAATAAAAGGCATACAAATTGTAATTTTAGTTTACCATGCGTGAAAAAAACTCTGCTCTTACGGCACATGTATGTCATAACAGATGCGCGACTATTCAAATTCTAATATTTTTTTAATAATATAAGAAACCAGTTCACAAATAATCGATTCAAATTCAATTTAAAGCTCTGAACAAAAGCAGATTTTTAATTGAATTTTGGCAAATAATTCTTTAAAATTTTCAATTGTTAACCAAAATTATAATTTGAATTCGATATTTTTTAAAAAAAAAATTTTGAATAATGTAAAAAACTTTTCAAAACTGTTACCAGATCTCTATAAGATGATCAAAATTCTGCTATTATAAGAATTAGTGGTTTCAAATAATAATAATAATTTTCGTAATAAAATATTAAACTTTAAACGACAAGATGGTAGTAAATTTTTTACCCTTCCGCTTTTTTTTTTTCAAACTGCCTTGTATTGCTCTCCCACACTTTCATATTCTCTCTGTACTTTCATATACGGTTTTTCGTTCTTTTACTCATTTTAATTTTGTTATTATGCGTAAAACACTTAGGGAGAAATTGGTGGAGAGGTGCAAATAATCACTACCACTTCGAAAAATATGTAATTAATATTTCACCTCGTAGGTTAAAGGTTAAAAATTTTTCAGCCAAATTTTGAATATAATTCGCAATAAAATATTTATGTTGTTTAATTATTCAGTATTATTAGTATTTCTCAATATTGTAGTATAAATTTTAAATGCAACTGTAATTGTAAAAACTTCATACAACCATACAAAATCTATGTCATTCTAAATCAAATAACATAATTTTTCAAATATTTTATTTTTTAGAAAAAATTCAATTAGAAAAGTAAGAAAGTAAAAGTCATTATCCACAAATACAAATATACTTTGATGACGTTCGTTATCTCCTTCAGTTTATTTACGTAATGTAAAAAAAAACGCTTTTTTATGTTTATTTGTAAACCCTATGTTTTTTTTAAATGTAACAATTTTGATTATTGTGTTTACTTTTTTGAAATGAATCATATAAGATGGAAAATAAAATTAATCATAAATGAAAATCGTAGGTGGTACAAATAGGCATTCAAAATCAAAACGTAAACAATATTGATTGAAAAACACAATAAAATAAAAGTAAGTTTATATAAAAAAACTGCTTAATTCAGTATAATGAAATTTGGCCAAATTTTGTCTATGAACTGACTTTCACCATCATAATTAATTCTCTATTAAAAATATTCACATTGCATACTTTTAGGTTAGATGTAATTTCCGGTATTGCAATTTAAATATGAAAGGTGACAGAGCGAATTTTTATGTTCAAGCATTTAAATTAAATTG